CGGGCAATTGTTGATCATGCAGGGTATATGCATAAATGCGAACTCACGGACTCACGGGACTCGAAATTTTTTTTTTTGTATCACAAATCGATCAATTTCAGGTAAATCGAAAACAGCTAATATAATCACTAATTTACACGAAATAAAGGTGAGACTTTGCTCTAATAAAGTTTACTGCGGTGGCAAAATTAAAGTTCTTCCTAAAATATCTTTAATAATTGATTTATCAAAAAACCAGGTTTTTACCTTTGGGGTATTTTCCGCGCTTTCCATAACTGTATGTACGTGTAACTTTTAAAAACTTTATCGTAAATTTCTTTTATACTACGTATCACAGTATATTTTATAAGTGTATTAATACAGTTGACTTAATAGACTTATACTTTTATATGAATAGTCAAGAACGAACAAAAAATATTCAAGAGCGAACAAAAATATTTAAGAGCGAGAAAAAAAAAAAAATTGACGTGAAGTAAGTGCATATTAGTATGACACGCGATAGGCATTTTCATCATTATGAGATCATAATCAATTTATCTGCACCTAGGCACCCATAGGAAGACTTTCGTATGATTGGCTGTTTAAATCAATTTAATTTTACATTATTTTATACAGTTTAAAATACTTTTTAAAAAAAATAAGACTACGAAGAATAAACAAAAAAGAAGTATATAGAAAGTTTTATTAGGGTTTTAGGACTCAACTATTAAAAATAATCAAAATGATTTCTGGTTTTAGAGAAGTTAGCATAATAGCGACTTTTTAAAGGTAGACAGAATTACCAGAAATCATTTTGATTATTTTTAATAGTGGAGTCCTAAAACCCTAATAAAACTTTCTATATACTTGATTTAAACAGCCAATCATACGAAAGTCTTCCTATGGCCTGGGCACCCAGGGTCAGACAGGTCATTTGACGATCGGCATAACCTGTCACACATTTCGGTCTTGCTTTCTAATTTTAGCTGAATTATCAAAATTGATTAAACATCGATTATTCAATTTAAGCGGTACAGACTGACCCATATAAGAAATATCACTGTTATCTGTATTACTTATCTGTTATGTAACACCGATCAAACAATTTACACATTTATTTAGAGATTCACAAGATATCGATATTTCTTAAACTTCTTCACTTTATAATATATGGAAGACGATACTGATACCTTTGAAACTTCACAAGAAAATAATGTAAAATCACAAAAACTTTCTGTTTCACTTCCACAAGATCCTTCAAATAGCGCTAAATCTATCTCTGAACGTTCTAGTCCATTATCTGAAATTCGGTTAAATGCTTCATTTCCTGACGTAACTCAGTTGAAATTGAATAAATCATCGGAGGATGAGGAAGAATACATGATTGAATTAAAATTGAACGAAGGCAATAATATGCGTTGCTACACTTATGATGAAGAGGTACCGGATTTGCCCAGTGACTTGGTAATTAATGAGGAAAGTACTTCAGGATCCAAAAATTGTGGTCTGTCAAGTGATCAAGCATTAGAGTAAGTTTTTTTTTTATTCATTTATTTGTTTATTTTTATAATCACATTATGCATTTTTGTATATAAATTTATAGAAAGTTGATCAATGTAACAAATGACATTCTTGCTGAACACAATTCACCATTGCAAACGAACAAGCGTATGTCCTCTTCATACGTATTCTGGGATTCTTAATATGATCATTTTTTCATCATATTCTAATAATTCTAATATGTTTCACATTGTTATAATCTAGTTCTTTGCGAATTCTTGATCCGTTCAGACACTATTCTTGCTTTATCATCGGTCGTTATTTTAGTTGCTTTTTATTTATATGGCTCCATAATGAGTAATCCCTATCAATTTCGCTTAAATGCGATTTTGTTTGAGTCATTTGTAATCCTTGCGTTTTTGGTGTTCAATGGATTTCTATATGTTAGAGAAAAAAAGCTAATCTCTTTGGAAATTAATGAGCGTGCAAAAAATATTATTAATCAATTAAAACAAAGTGGATTAAATACTATTCAGGTATGATTTATATATTTCATTAATATTAATTTGCTCAAAAATTTTTTTAATCATATAATTTTAAATTTTACTCGATTTAGGATATTAAAATACCTTTTGTTCCATCAATAACAGTTGCCAAAGTTGTACGTGATGGCTTTGTACGAAGTTTCCCCACAACTTTATTGGTAGAAGGTGACGTTGTAGAAATGTTATATGGTGATATTGCTCCATGTAAAATGCAATTAATTTCTAATAACATTCCAAAAGAGTTTTCTACAAAACATTTGGAACTATCTCAAGTTTTTAAACCTTCATTTTTTAATGGAATGTCTTCAAAAGATTTATGGGAGCAACACATTAAAAATAAAGGAAGATATCAATTTGTCCTTTTAGAAACTCCTTGGGAAAATTGCTTAAGAGCTGTATTTGAGCAAAAGCGACCTGCAACAATCATTGTAAAACAAGCTGAAGTTTTAGCGCGTGTCTTCCTTTATCGACTTATATTCATAATACTTGGTTTGGCTTTCGCGATTAATCTTATAAGATATATATTAACTGAAGTGATAAGAGGGTATCATTATGATCAGGCTTTTGAAATGTTGTTAGTGTTGCCGATATATTCGATAATTCCGATAATACCATTAGCATTTCCAATATTATGGATTATTACACGTAGCTTGGCAAATGCCACTCTTTTGGTTTTATTTGAAGCCTTACAGATATCCAAAACAGAATATGAAGAATATGATGAAATGGATGAATTTGATGCTGAAGCTCCCCCACCCACGAAGAATGTTCAGATTGATAGAGGTTTACTTTTAAATATACTTTTTAAATTTTATAATTTATTTATCTATTTATTTATGTTTTTATATACGTATGTGTATATTTATTTATTGGTAGATGCTGTATGGAATAAATTTAAACATTTATTCACAGCACGAGATGGTGAATTACTTTATCGTTCAACAAATTTGTTTGAATCGCTTGGAAGCGCTACGGTTATTTGTTCACTTGACCGTGAAGGTACTATTTCATCGGTATGTCATTATTTACTGATTTACATAGTAAACTAGGTTCTTTATTAAAAACTCATTGATAGAATTAAACTATAGCCTTTTGGTAAGTCTTAATAATTTTATACTTATTTCGCATAAAATAAAAATTAACAATAATAATAATTTAAAAATTTTAAGCATCGGTTGATCAAATTTTGTTTCCAAACGAAGAAGAAGATATAACAGTTCTTGACATAGCGGAAGATCCAAGTACTTCCTTTCGTGTTAAATTTGAGGACCAAGACTGGGACCAACATTTATCGTATGTAAGAAAAAAAGAAAAAAATTTACTTTGTTTATTGTTGTTTACTATTTACATTTATCATAATTTTCCAGTCGTCTTAAGCCTCTTGGTCTGAATCTTTTGTTAAATACAAATTGTGGTGTGTTACAAGGACGAAAACGTGCCGAACAGCATAGAAAAAATTCTAGCTTTCAGATTCATGCCAAGATAAATCCTGCAAGGCAATGTAGGTCAATATCATACGTAATACTTATTATTTATTTACGTTCAAATCATATATAAATGAACTTTTCTAAATTTATAATATAGCATGTTTGTGTCGTCTTGGTAAAGAAATTGGATTCACCGATGACGCTCTTCAATCTTTTATAAAAAGAAAGGAACTATTTGCAACTGCGCCATGTCATCCGTCGTTAAAAGAGCGTATGGCAAAGGACCAATGGGAAGTTCCTAGCATGCTTTCTTCGATTTACGAAGAACTTAATTCAGGTTTTTTTTTTTTTTTTTGTTCTTTATTTACTTTAATTAATCATTTTCCATTCTTTTATAAGAGAGAGATATATATATTTCTTTTTATTTTTTATTATTTTTTATTTTTATTTTTTTTGCTAGGAAGTTGTCAATTATTATCTGATGGAAATTTGGATATTATACTTGATAACTGCTCCGATTACTGGAATGGCCAAAGTCTGCAACCTATGAGCGAAGTGGTTAGTTAATATCATTATTAAAGTTTTTTTTTTTTTGAATATAATATCATTCCATGTAGTAATTTATTTAATATATGTAGGTTGAAAATAAGATTTATGATTTTTATCAAAATGCTATAATTAATGACATGCAATGTATTGCATATGCATATCGTCCAATAAATGTTGTAAATGGAAATAAAATTCCATTTTTAAACTCGACATCACCTGATTCAAATGATACTTATATTGTATTGCCAAGTCCACCAGAGGCTGAAATTATACTTGATAATGAAGATAATGAAGATGAAGATCTTACCAGATCTCAATTGATTAGATTATATCGCCTGAAACATGGCTTATTGGAAGCAAATCTTCATGATTTTTCTTTTGACCAAGAAAATCTAACATCTCAAGATAAAGACTTATTTTATCAAGATGTTATTCAGGGTCAGATTTTCTTGGCAATGGCAACACTTTATCATCAACCTAAGCCAGTTAGTTTTTTATTTTAACATTGGAAAATCTTTGAAGCAAAATTATAATACTTTTATATATGCTAGGATGTATGTAACTTTATCGAAGATCTCAGATTAGCTGGTATTCGGTTTGTTTATTTCTCTCCCAATGGAGAAAGAGAAAGCAAAGGTTAGATAAATTTTTAATATTCACCAATTTAAGCATTATAATAACAATATGTTAATTACCTTAAATTACCAATTTAAAGCATATGCAGAGAGGCTTGGTCTTGAGACTGATTGGAATACTTGCATTTTGCTTTCTTCACCTGGTGATGAAAACTCCCTTGGAGGCGGTTATCTAGAATCTCATGACATAAAAGCTCGTCTTCCACGTGGGATCGTAAATATAAGGGAACATTTAACGGTATTAAAGTTTTATGGTTTTTTTTTTTTCATTATTCAAGATCCATGAATTTGATTAATGTTGTATTTTAAAGGAGACAGACGACATTCCATTGCAAGTATCCTTATTTTCAGAGTGCACACCTGAAACAACACAAGAGATGATTAAAATATTTCAAGAGTACGGAGAGGTTGTGTGTTGTGTTGGAAGCGCATTGAACGCTTTTAATACACATAACTTTGCCGTGGTATGAATTTGATTGCACTCACATATATAAATAATAAAAAGCAAATATTTTAGGGTTTTCATGCGTGATTTTTTGGTCACATTCAGGCAGATGTAGGTGTTGCTATTGAGCCTATGTACACACGTGCACAATCCAGGAATGGGCTATGTCATTTAGGCACCAAAGGGCAGTCTCCTATGGCTCTTGGTGCTGCTCTCACGACTTTGCCATGTGGACTATTTATGTATTATGATACGAGTTTGTATGCTCTCACCGATATAATACGTGAATCTAGGCGGTTAATTAATGGTCTGAGAATGGTAAATATGATTTATTTAATTATTTTAAACACAATATTTAATATTTATTATTCATAATGTTTTTATAGGGAGTGTCATTTTTGTGTGGCACATATCTTTCTATCTCACTCTTATTTCTGTTTTCTTACTGTCTTATCCTACCGCCTATATTTACCGGATATCAAATATTATGGGTTGCATGCATTATTTCACCTATGCTAGCATTGTCATTTCTCTTTAGTCCTCATGTCGCAGATACTATGACAACAATGACAGGTACGATACTGTTAAATGATTCCTTAATTAAAAATTATAATTTTTTATTAATAGCGATATATATATATATATGTATAAAACTCAAATTCCAGTTAAAAATATTGATCATCTTCCCGATTTGCCAAGATTTTTATTTTATTTCCTATTAAGATTTTCATTGCCAATTTTAATGTCTCTTTGCATGTTTGTTATGTATGTAAATTTTATATATATTTAATTTTCCTACTTGTTCTTATTAATTTAATATATTTTATAGGTTTCTATATTATTTTGGTAAGGTGGCATTGTTCGGATCTTTTGGAAATGATGGATGGTTAAGATGGTCTTATGAAGAACAATGGGTACTTATCTATGCACAAAATTGTACATTATTTATATTTGTATGGTCTTTGGGTGAGGATAGGCTTTAAATTTATTATTATTATTTTTTTTTTAAAAAAAAGTTATCTAATTGCTTTGTTGTGTAAATTTTGGATATAACTGATTTACTTTTAAGCTTGTATATCGTGTACTTTTGTAAACCGCACGTTACCATTACATAAATTCAATCCGCTGCGGAATCACGTCTGGATTTATGCATTTATTGCAAGGTATTATTATTTGAATTATGTTACTATTATTTCCTAATAATTTTAAATTACTTTAAATTATTGTATATTTTGACACTTTGCAATTTTCAAACTAAACAGCATAATTTTGCAAGCGATATTTACCGCGATATCATTATTGCTAGGGCCAACAGTATTATTATTTAAAGTACCCTATTATATTTACGTAACTGTGCTGTTGGCACCAATAACAGTGTTTATACCAGTACAGGAGTTGGTTAAGATGCATGATAAAAAGGAATATGATAGGTTTCAAAAAAGATCAAAATTGTTATTCAAGTATGTATGCTTTAAATTTTATATGATTTTTAAACATTTATAATAATAAATTAACTTTTATTAATTTTTTTCCCTTCTGATGAATCAGTACTAAATTAGGAATGCATTCCCCGGTTTAACTTATAAATGAACATTATTGATAGGAAAGTAATAAAGCATGGACTTGCTTGTGTACTTTAGTAAATTGGATTATTGAAATAAATTAAATTTATTTGTTAAAGACTAACTTTGACTATGATTAGAATAGTTAAACTTGATTAGCTCGACAACATTGGAAATCACATGATTTTCATGCCTACAAGTTAATGTTATTTGCTTTTTTTATTTATTTTTATTAACATCGTTATAAGTTTGTTTTTTTTTTTTTTTTATCAATAGTTAACTATATAAAAACTCAGAGTCCCATCGCTAGAGGCAAATTTATTTTATAATTATTTTTTATTATTTTTATGACGTAGTATCATAGCTTAAATTGAAATTACGCATTAATTGTCGAGTTTACTAATTTCTCCCACCATTTCTGATTGGCTCTACTAATTATTCACATATCGGAGTATTTGTGCTATCAATTAGATTTATAGTACTCCGATAGTGAAGTAGTAAACCCTTAATTGTCGGGGATGAAGCTGAAATCGGATGATGCTGAAATTTTGGCCTATTTTATTATGAAATTTTAAAAAATTTTCGGGTCTTTTCGTTAGGGGGTTTTTTTTAGGGTTAGGTTAGGGTTTAGGGTTAGTGTTGTTAGTAAAAAAAGTATATGTGAATTTTAGTAGGTATTA